CTTCCCGAAAATATAAGAATGCTCCAATCGTTTGCTCAGTTCCGGAAAGCTGTAAACAAGTATTATAATAGTTTAGATGAACTCCCACACGGCAATCTTGTAAACCAGTAGATCATATTCTCTTATTTATTTTTGCATGCTTAAACTTAAACTGAAGATTCCACCGTGGATAAATAAATTTTTATTGTATTGTATTGTATTGTATGGTGAGATGTTCCACGTGCCAAAAGTATGTCCGTCCCGAAGGTCACCAATGCTTTCTTCAACCTGTGGAAACAAGACAACCGGCGCAAGTACGACAACAAAACAACCTTCTTGACGATGACGTAGTAGTCGAGAATGACGTCGAAGAGCAGGAGACCAATCTCATGTTTTTCGACTTCGAGTGTATCCAAGATGAGGGTACACACCCCCAACTTATGCGTCGTTCAAAATGAAAGCGGCGATGAAACTGTTTTTTCTGGCCCTGACACCAAAAACGAGTTCTGCGAGTGGCTATTCCAGCCACAACACGCAAAAACTACCTTCGTTGCACACAATCTGCAGGCGTACGACGGCTACTTTATTCTCCAGTACCTGTACAACCAAGGCATCTCTCCCGAACTCATCACTCGTGGCGCAAAAATCCTGTCTCTCACCGTTTCCGAACTAAACATAAAATTCATAGACTCGTTATGTTTTATCCCAATGAAATTAGCAAATTTCCCGAAAACATTTGGCCTCATGGAGCTGGAAAAAGGGTATTTTCCTCATTTTTTTAACCGTGTGGAAAATCAAGATTATGTGGGGCCAATGCCGGATGTCAAATATTATGACCCTGACGGCATGAGCCCCGACGACCGCGAGAAATTCGTTGCATGGTACAAAGACATGGTGGAACATCAGTACGAGTTCGATTTCCCTGCTGAAATTCTTCGGTACTGCCAGTCTGATGTGGACATTCTTCGACGTTGCTGTCTTGAGTTTCGTGAACTGTTCCGTCAGATCACCGACGTTGACCCTTTCGCATCCTGTTTGACCATTGCCTCTGCCTGCAACCTCGTCTTCCGGAAAACTTTCCTCGAGAAGGACACAATCGCGATCATTCCTCCCTGTGGCTACAAGCCAGAGAACAGACACTCGGTAATTGCGATGAAAATGCTGAACTGGATATCCCAGCGGGACAACATTGGCATCCGTCATGCTCGTAACCAGGGTGAGAAATGTATCGGTAAATATCTCGTTGACGGGTTTAATGAAGAAAGCAACACGGTGTGGGAGATTCATGGTTGTCTCTGGCATGGGTGCGAGCGATGCTATACCGAGGATACGGTGAATCCAGTAAGCCATCTTTCTATGCATGATCTGCGACAGAGTACGTTAGAGAAAACCCACTACCTTCGTGAGAATGGCTACAACGTCATAGAGATATGGACCTGCGACATCCAACGAGAGCTTGCTACGGATTCAGAGATGAAAGAGTTTTTCGACAATTTCGAAATCTCCGAACCCCTAGAGCCTCGACAAGCATTCTTCGGTGGTCGCACCAATGCCACACGTCTTTACCACGAGGCCAGAGATGACGAGAAGATTCGCTATGTGGACTTCTGCAGTCTCTATCCATGGTGAGTATGTTTCTAATCGCACTAGCGAAAAATTGTATTGCTTACTAACCTTCTCAAGTAATTTTAAGGTGCAACAAATACGGGGAATATCCAATTGGACACCCAGAAATAATCACTGAAAATTTTGGATCCGTGGAAAATTACTTTGGTTTGGTAAAATGTTCCGTGTTACCACCTCGAGGCCTCTTCCACCCTGTGTTGCCCTACCGAACCCAGGGCAAGTTAATGTTTCCCCTCTGCCGTACCTGTGCCGACTCCCTGCAACAAGAACCCTGCCGGCACAGAAACAGAGAGAGAACAATACATGGCACATGGGTGAGCCTGGAACTGGAAAAAGCCCTCGAGAAGGGTTATCAGCTCCTCAAGATAGACGAAGTGTGGCATTTTCCTCAACATAGAGATGATCTCTTCAAAGATTACATCGATACATTCCTCAAAATCAAGCAAGAGGTAGGTTTGTAACGAAGCTAATTCTGTTCTGCTAATAGTTTCTTAGCCATCAATTTTCCTTTTCAGGCAAGTGGTTTGCCAGCAGGATGTGACACAGACGAGAAGAAGGCAGAGTACATTTCTGATTACGCTGCAAAAGAGGGAATACAGCTGGATCCGAGACAGATCATAAAGAATCCTGGCCTAAGGGCGTTGGCAAAGCTTATGCTTAACTCCTTTTGGGGTACGCATACTATACTATATTATAACTACTAATGCAATTTCCTTATTTCTAGATTTGGGTGACATATATTTGGAAAAAAACCCTTTTCATTTTATCGTTTCAGGAAAGTTTGCACAACGTCCCAACATGGGTAAGGTCAAAATAATTTCGGACCCTGCTGAATACTTTGACCTTCTATCCAGTGACAAGATCAGCGTTACTGACGTCAATTTCATCAATGACGAGCTGATCGAGGTGCAGTATGAAAATGTCGAAGAGTTCGTGGAGGCTGACGGAAAGACGAATGTAGTTATCGCGGCCTTCACCACAGCCCATGCTCGTCTAAAACTTTACAGTGTCCTGGAACAGCTGGATCGCCGAGTCTTGTATTTCGATACAGACTCGGTGATCTATGTGTCGAAAGATAGTGAATGGGAACCATCCACGGGTTCATACCTCGGGGACCTGACTGATGAATTAGATGGAGCTCATATTATCACGTTTGCTTCCGGTGGTCCGAAAAACTACAGTTACGAGACGAACAAGGGGGAAACAATATGCAAAGTTCGCGGAATAACACTGAACTACAGAACGAAGCAATTTATTAATCACAACGTCGTGTGTGATATGATCTTCTTGAAGTCTGTGAGTAATGAAAACGGTAAAGTCACCGTCGACATTCCTTACAAGATTGTAAGAGACACTAGGGACAAAGTGGTAAAAACTAAAAGTGAAACGAAAGACTATAGAATTGTATATACTAAGCGTAGAATTGTAAATAGTTTTGATACTTTGCCATATGGTTTTTAAATAGGATTTATAAGTATTAATGTACAAATAGTAATATATCATTTGGACGATAAATTGCGTGCGTGTTTGTGTATGTTGATCGAATTTATAGGGACGTTTGGGGAATAAATTTGTCCCCAGAGGGACATTAGGGATAATAGTATCTCCAGGGGGACATTCCCATGAATCGGGGACATGTAGGGACTAATTTATTCCCCAAAGGGACTTATATTAATGGGTATGTATGGTACGAGGCGTTCATTTGATATCATGTCTCGAACGCGAAAGGTCTGTCCCATATGCGGAAGAAAAGGATTACTGAAACTATCCAATCATTTAGCTAATGTTCACAAACTCGCTAGTCATCAAAGACAGCCGTATCTCATACGCGCTAAGAAAACACCCGCTGACATGGAAACGGTTTTGTATATAATAAATAGGCTGATTGGAACGCATCTGCGTTCATTTTCAACATGTACTCCATACAGTTAACACATCCGTTTGGCCTTCTCGTGTCCGGCAGTACAAAGTCAGGCAAAACTACATTTGTGAAAAAACTTTTGAGTTATGTTAATGTCATGATAGACAAACCTCCAGAAAACATTGTGTATTTTTATGCCGAGTACCAAGATACGTTTGGAGAAATTCAAAATTTAGTGCCTGGAATAAAATTTGTAAAAGGTTTACCTGATGATATACTGGATAGTATCAACCCGAAACACGTAATTTATACGTCATTGATGATTTCATGGGTGAGAAGGATGGAGTTATTTCAAAATTATTCACGAAAAAATCACATCATGGTAACCTGAGTGTAGTGTACATTGTACAAAATTTATTTCATCATAGCAAA